AACAGGAAATTATTAAATTTTAAAGTTCTGATAAAATTATTTTGTATAAATTAATTTGTTAAAAATGCGTCAATGCCGATTTTTTTTAGAAATTTTAGTGTACTTACTTACAGATGTATTACTTTTTAACTTTTAAATTTTTTTCTTTAGTTTTAACGTTAATCAAATTTCACCTATTCGTTTTTATTTTCAATTTTGCTTTTTACAAACAATTGAAGAAAAAAGCTGCCATACTTATTGATAAGTGATATTCTACCTTAATGTTTAAGCTGTTAAATTTTATTAGTTTAGAAAATAGATGTCATTATTATTTTTTTCTTTCACGATTTCTTGTCACTATATTGTAACCTTCAAATTTTTGTATACCGTATCAGCATTAGGATTCTTATTAGTTGATGCTAAGGTTTCCACTTTTCTATATTCTTTGCTGTACGGCTGACTGTGATTCCAATTTGTTACAGTTTTTGGTTGTATTTGTATTGATATAAGAGTTGTTTTCTCCAAGTCGATATTTAATTAACTATTTGAATATTATCAAAAATAATGTTTTTTTTTTGCTAGTAATATGTCTTTGTGTTTATATAACAAAAAAAACTAGAAAAAAAAATTTATTGTTGGTTGCTGTAGTATTGAAATTTTGTATTTGTTTTTCTATGTATATATACTTGGATTTGTTTATACGGTATGTATTTTGTTTTTTCCTCTGTCTTTTCAGTGTTTAGTATAATACTGATTCAATTCCAAAAAGAAAAAAACGAACTTTCTTTTTTTTTTGCAAAATAACAATTTTAATAATAATATTGGTAGAAATAATAATAAAAATAATAATTTTGAATTTATAGGTGCAAAAAAAAAAATGACATTAAACAGAAAAAATTCTGTTTTTTCATTTCAATTTACTCAATTGATTACTTGATAAGTATTATTGGTAGGCACAACAGAACACCAATTCAGGTCGTTCGTTAATTATTGTTGGTAATAGAGCTGTTACCTGTCTACCTTTTTGCTTGTTTCATTTGTTGAGTGCTAAAGTGGTTTAGTGGTTAACCATAAGTGATGTTACTGCTGGTGCCGCTAATGGCACATGATGATGATGATGATGGTGGTTGAAGATTTGATTGGCAGAAGAAGAAAAAAAAAATGAGATAAAGATAAAAAAAACTATTTCTGAATTCTTGTTAAGTAATAGGATGAGCAGTTGAAGTGGTATACTTAAGAAGAAAATTGACCGGTCAGGTCGGAAACAGGCTAACGAACACATATATAGTATAAATACTGCAGAACATGTAAACAGTAAAGAACAATAGACCAGTGTAAACATAATTAGGCATTTATTCGGTGCAGTTAGTAAATCATTATATCTGTTCAGTTGAATATGACAGTAACTATTTTTCATCTAAATTACCAGTCAAAAGTTGACAAAATAAAAATATAATTTCTGCAGTACCGTATTGAAACTATTATATGAGAGAGTAAATGGTATTATTTCCAGCGTCTGATGCATACTGTTAAACCACTGTACTTTGCCTTGATTTCTGCACTAAAAAAAAAAAATGTTTTGAAAATTACTGGACTACACTATCAAACTTTTTAGCTTTAAATTTCGTTTCTTTTTTTCGTTACTGCTTTCTTCCCAAAAACAAGGAAATCCAATTATTGCTGCACAGTACTTTTTGTGCTAGATTTAAAACTTCTGTGTATAGCAGCTTATCTGCTCAAAAAAACAAAAAAAAAAAGTTATACACTAAAATTCAACTAAAAATAATTTGTTTTTCAATTTTTTTCAATCAAACAAAAATAATATTATTGAAAAGAAAAAAAAAATATCGTTTTCAAAAAGCACAGTTCTAAATAACCATCAACCAACGTCTTATGCATTTAAAATTTTCACATTTGGATTATGAATGAAATTTAATGTGAGCAGAGTCTATAAAGTGTTTGTTTTATTAAGTCAATAAACCATTAATGCTAAAAATATAAAAGAAAATTTTTTAAAATATATACATCTGCATTAATAAAGATGTGTCTCTAATGTTTGATGACAATGAATGAAAGAAATCTGAAATGATGACCAGAAAACGGCGAAACATTTAACTAAATGCATAGCGAAATACTGAAGGTTAAAATGTATGTGTATTTGTGTATTTATATATGGGCTAAAATACAAACTTTAACAAACATTTACTAACTGACCAACGGCATTGTTTAAGATGCATAGGTTTTTGCTTCTGTAATACTCTTTATGATATATATTTACCAAAAAAATGGTTATTTCACCTAATCTAATATTGTGTAAGGAAAATTTTTTTTTGTCTATTTTTTTTTCATATAAATCATCTTCGTTTTTCTTGTTTACACACTGCTAAGCTTTAATACTATCCAATATACACACATATATGTGTCTAGATTGATATATAAGCATGCATAGAGATGCATGTTCAAGTAGTTACATGTAAATGCATATAACCAAGAAGACTTTGGAAGTAACCAAAAAAAAAAAAGAATAGAACTCATGAATCATAGCTAATGTTATAAGTTGGTAATCCGTTTTGTCGTTATTTTGCAATGTTACCAACAGTTCAACAAACAAAAAATTTTATATACCCGTATAAAGCGTTGATTATGTTTTCTTCTTTTAATTTTAAAAATATAAGCAAAAATTGTAAAGAAATGGAAAAATACGAAAAAAAACCGCCGAAAAGATGAACAAGAAAAAAGTGTCTTTTTTTTTTATTTTTATATCTGCGTAGATAATAAATAAAACATGTATCATACAGTTGTACAGTTAATTGACTAACTGATCGACTGACTGAATAACTAACTAGCTAACTAACTGGCGAGCTGTTTTTCAAACCAAAAAAGAGCATTAAAGAAACCCCCTGCAGATATAAAACAATTCTTGTTTAATTAAAAAAAAACCTGAATTTAGATGCTTATTTTTATGTCTCATGTAGTTTTTTTTTTTGATTGACATATCTATCACTTTCTGTTTTTAGCTAAACAACAATGTATGTTTTATATGTTTGGATGTGTATTTGTATATGACATTGTTTTTACAAAAAATTAGATCACCATCATCATCGGCATCAGCATCAGCAACATCAGCAACAATGGCAGCATAACACCATAACAACAGAACAAAACAACAAACAACAACAAATCAGTTGAATTCATCGGGAACTTTTTTTTTTTTGTTCATCAAAAATCATCAACAACTGCAGCACTGTACATC